ATCCCGGCCAAGAGGGGTCCCCAAGAGACATTTTCCTTATCAAACCATCTCTGTATTTCTGGTGCTATCACCTAACGAGGCCAACAATGCCCCTGACACCACTTTTGATAAAAATCTATAAATACAGAGGCTCATAGATGCAAGGCAACGAAACAATCTATGTGTAATGAAAAAAAAAACTATGCTGCGAGATAGCCAATACCCCTCCCGCAGTTCAATCTTGCTCGCTCACTTGCGTTTCCATTTCCTCAGTATTTTAGATAACATACAAAGGATGACTGTGAGGCTGAGGATCAACACCTATACCGTTTCCATTCGTGTCAGCGGCTATTTGAATATGGGCCAATAAACGCTGAGGTTATGAGTACGGGGCAAATTGGGCTATTCACATCTTATAGTTGCAAGTCCCCTTAGCAGCTCTCGACTCATCATCAGTCTCCAACTTGTAGTGTATGGTGACGTCCAGATCACGCTTGTTCTTGTCGTTTGGCTTGTTCTCCAACATACCGCTGATCCTCTCACCCTGCTGGACAGTCAAGACATCCCGGAGGTAGAACACTGTCTGTTTCCAGTGAGTGTACTTGGTGTGCGGGCCAGTGGAGAACCGAATGGGTTTATGGCATGCAGTGAAATCGATGTCAAACCAGGCGATCAGCGCGTGGATGAAATCATCCCGTCGGACATCGAGGGTGAAGGGCGAGGAAAAGGCAAGGTCAGATGGCTGTACAGTATAGAGGTCGAGCGTGAGAACAGGAGTAGGATCTGTGACAACTGCTTTGAGGTCGACGGTGTCGACAAGGGGCTCGGTGAGAGCAGTTTCCTTCAGTGGGGTGTAGTCAAAGCCATACACATTATCCCAAACTTCAATTGCGTCAGCCCAAAGTTGAACGACTAGATGACGTATGGGAACATACATCCGATCTTCTCTTCCTTGTATTCGCCATCTTCAATACCCGCCATGAAAATGGTAGCCTTATCCGGAAATATCAGGCCATTCGAGGCCAGATACTTATCCCGTGCATAAAGCACAGTATCTAACATGCTCTCGTACAGCAAAAAATAACCCATCCACTCTGAGATGATTATGTCTACCTGAGGGAACGGGAGCTCGACTTCCTCCATCTTACCCTGGATCAAAGTGATATTTTCAGACATGCCGTTGGCTTGCACAATCTCTCGCGCCTTTTCGATAATTGTTGACATATCGACCCCGATGACATGTCGCGCTCCAGCTTTGAAAGCGAACCTTAAGGAGACGCCGCAGCGCGCATCAGCACTCAAAACTTGTTCTGATCCGGGAGTTATGCATGCTAAATAATGGAAGAAGGGTTCGAACATGCTGAGAATAGCTGTGCCGCATCCAACATCTAGCACAATCTTGTCTTTAAAGATGTGGCGGTTTTGATATATAGCGTTCTGATAGGATTTTGTTCGAACTTCATCTTTCTGTTACGGAGCGCCATGTGAGCGTCCTGCGAAGTGATTACAGAGGCATGAATCTATTAGGTACACACCAACATTTCCTCATGAATACCTGAAAGAAATCCCACCCATTAGCGCCAAGTGTCCGAGAAAAGCTGAGGAGCAGATTCAGAATATTTCGTACCATGATGATTGTAACTAGAGCAGCGTTTGTGAGCTCATGAACTCGGATTTGGGGGAAGAATAGGGATTTACCTGTTGAAATAGTGGACTTCGGAATGGTCCATATTTGCCAGAGCTTCACCCATACTGCAAGCACAAGTTTAGTTCTGGGTTTAAACCTGCAATTATTTATTGAATAGTTGTGGGAGACACGCTGGAAAAGCTGACGGCGAACGTGAGGCTCTGCTCTTGGCACCTAAAGCCACTAGTCCCAACATAGACAATTGGTGGACAAAATAAAGAAAAATGTGCTGCTCCGTCCAACCCAACTGAGGCGGTGAGTCCGAAGGAGCCTGTTGCACTAAAATGCATAGACATTCTCTTAGCGTAGCTTTCCTAGAATTCAGAGCTTGGAGGTTGTTCGCTGCGAACAGCGGAATCTGCATTTTGGCTAGCAACCGGTCTAGTGGAACTATTCAGTGGCATGAAAGCTCTAAGGTCAATAAAGAAAAGGGAGAGTTTTTGTCTAACTACGAAGAAAACGCCAAATCCTGTAAGCGTCGGGCGGACGGCCGTCACATGGGGGCTAATGCACGATATTATCAAACCATCAGATAAGAACGAGGTTGCAGGTTGCATCACTAAGCATAATTCCGTTATCAAACCATCAGATAAAATTAATCTTGGCGCGCCGCGGACGTGGCTTGATTCAGCATTGGTCAAGAGATTTCGTTTTCCTGTTGGGATCTGGTCCTATGAGCCGAGGGTCTCGTCCCTACTGCGCAGTACATATACTGCGTACGTGGGGCAAATTAATATTACTTCCTACAAGTTAATACTCTGCCCTCCAAAGTCAACACGGTGCCTTACAAGTTAATACGGTTCACAAGCACTAGATTTTAAAACCGGAGTTGTCTATCGTCTCTGCTGCTCGTTTATGGAACTGCCCTCATACAAATGCGGTACCCCCACTACCCGCGGAAGACGACTCTGGCTCCCTATTGCAATGCGCTTCGAAGCTAGAACATCGGACCGTGAAGACGTTAACGAGTGCGACCCCCCTGTCGTCAGCTCTCCAAAAGCAGCGTTGGTCCAGAGTCATGGCCTCTCGTACGACCTGACGAGTGGTCAAGTTTATTGTCTTTATATTTCTCATTTCTTGTCCATGTGGAATTCTAGGACATACGAATTCAGTTCTGTGGGTCTTTCCCAATCAAGTCTCATCCTGAGTTGTTAGACCACTATTAATGTAAATTATTCGCCGCCAATAGATCCTATTCATCCAGGCCAACTTTCCCGGAAACCTCAGAGCTTCTTCCATCAAGTGCGAGACCACTGTTTTCAATTTTAGCTTTCGGACATCTGAACTGAACTGGGTACTAGCGGCATTGCTGAAACTGTCTGCGTACTGCTCTTCTCCTCCGCTCTAGGCCGCAGAGTTGACCGCGCACATTCACGATTAACGACACTTCTGAGCACCATCATCACGAACCGATGTATGGTCATTGCATCCTGTATCTTCTGGTCCTTTATAACCATCAGCCAGGATAGGACCAGGAAGAATGTTCTTTTCGCCATTGTCCTCCTCCTAAGCATGGTCGAAAAGCTGTCGCGGATGACCAACGTACTTTCGATGGAACGTGATTGGATTCCAACACTAGCTCCTCCGTCTCTCGAAGAGAGTCCGTGGTCACCGTTTGGTCTTACGCGTCTTAACGCTGGCATGAAACGCATTGATTTGCTGTGTAAACTCCTCGCACCGCTTGCGATCTCAACACTCATGTCCAGGATTGCCCCAGTGAAGGTGGCTATAGGAGTGGCCATCATGAGTTCCCTAAGCTGGGGAATAGAGTTTTGGTGTATCCAAAATGTCTGGGCTCAAAATTGTCGATTGAGAGAACCAAAAGAGTGTGACAATGATCTAAGGAGGCTACTGACAAGAAATGGAACCGAGGAGACAATTGTCAATGATAATCCAGGGCCCACCCCGGGCGAAACGAGGGTACCAGCAAACGTGCGAAAACTGTGGTTGTGGCTTCAAGAAAGATTAGAGGATGTGAAAACCTCAAGTTTGAATCATACTGAAGGCTTGAAAAGCTACTTTGCATCGGATGTGTGGATACCATCGATCGCCATGGCAATCTTACATGCTTCGGTGCTTTCATACTCATCAACCCTCATAGTATATCTACTAAATGCGGGATTCTCTTTAAATCTGATAACTCTCGCGAGAGGCATGGGCTCTCTATTCGAGATCAGCAGCACGTTTATTTTTCCTTTCGGCATTAGCGCTCTTTCCGAAACCACTACAGCCTCTAGCGGCGAGACAGGACACACTAGGGTAGGGGAATCGCAGCCGTTGCTTGAGGTGGATAGGGAACCAGAGGGACGAGACAAGGAGAAATCCCAAGCAGTCCAAAATACGGGAGTGGGTGTCATGAGGCTCGGGCAATGGAGTATCTGTGGTCTGTTTCTTAACCTGGTAAGTCATCATGGAGACCCCAGCTTCTCTAACGCCAATAGACAAGAACTTGTCATTAAAGAGTACCTACTCAGATACCTGTGGTCTTGGCCCTCTGGCATCTCGAGCTGTCCCTGCAAGCCTCAACCCCTCCCAATTCCGGAGACACCAAGTCCATCTATCCACTGAAACGTCACCCTTTCGCCACACTCGCTTTGTTTTCATTCCTCTCCTTCTCGCTGCTTTGCCGATGGATCTACAACCTGACAACTCAGCAACTAACGCAAACCCGAGTGCCAACGCCTCAACGCGCCAGTTTTGGCGGCACCGAGATGTCCATCGTGTCTTCGGTCAGCCTTGTTCACTGGATCTCAGCGGTGGTGTGGCATGCCCAGTCTGATTTCAAGTGGCTGGCACTAGGGAGCTTCATTGCGGTGGGGGGCAGTGCTTGGATGTATTCGGCTTGGGTCAGAGGGCAAATGAGACATTAGCTCACTAGAGCTTGTAGCTATGATAGATCATCATATATCTTGCAGCGGCAGTCCATATAGCATTGCAGCTAGAGAAGTTGCTAAAGGAGTTTCAAGGTTCTCGCTGAATCTTTGTGGTTAGGCAATGGCATTCTTTAGTGTGATATGAAAGAAACCTCCTTGTTCGCTGCGCTTCCTACCACTATTACCATTTATCGACCCTCCATCGAATGAATAAATAAAATTAAAAATTTAAGCACCCGTCCATCCCAATCCCGCGACCCCCCCCCCTCCAATTTACCCTAAGCATAAAGTGCTTAATACTAAAGTTATCACTTATGTAGCGTTCATATGCCGCCTTAGTTAAGGCGCCGTGTTCGACAACAAATTTCTTCCTATCCGCCCCAACCCCCACCTGTAGGGAGAAAAAAAAGCTCTTCACCCACCAAAATAAAAACCCCCAAAAATATAATAAGAAAAAATCACGACTCCGATGGGACTCGAACCCACAATCTTCGCCAATCTCCAGATTACCGGAAGACGACGCCTTACCATTAGGCCACGAAGCCTGAACTCGATCACATGGGACACCCTTAATTCCGTACTTGAACCCTCTCTCACCGCTACCCCCGGCACCTCGCTCACGCGCGTGAGATATAAAATATATTGTTATGCGCATCGACCGTAGCACTGCCCGGGAGAGTGGGAGGGAAAATGGGAAATTAGGCTTAGCCTTGAGTTTGTTTGCGTATCTGACGTACGTACATGTAATATGTTATCTAGGATATTCTCGTATCCATGGAAAAATTTCTCTTGATGGTTTTCTTTCTCTTTCTTTTATCGCGTCGCCATTGGTGGTGACAAAAAAAACAAGGGTTAGGATAAGGGCTTTGTATCTCCGTCGTGCAAAAGAAAAGAATCTTCATAAAGTTGCGTCAGTGTCACAAGGAAGGGCGGGTTGGATCTTTCTTTAATTTGTTTTTCACATCTGGGATCAGAGAGCTATCGTACACATCTCTACATATTTTGCCGTCGGAGGGATATCGCGTTAGCTGTTCCTTTTTTCGATACTATCATTTTCTCCTTTTGGAAAGGTACTCAGAGCCAGTATACCACATCCCCCTAAATGGATGTGGCAAAACCCCGGTCTTGATGGAAGAACCTCGTAAGTTTTTGCCACCGAGCCCTTGAATGCTGCTAGAACCTTGGATGTATGGCTCGAGTGACCACCACGATTACCCGCAAACACCACCAGATACTTGTCAAAGAAGATCACAGGCTAGAAGCCAACTCGAAGTTTCGCGCGTGCACCATCTATGGCCTCGCTGGACCAACTCTCCTTCCACTTTCGTTCCTCCTCCCTAACCTCCAAGAATGGACCCAGGCACTCCGGGGGTAACATTGCTATTACATCGTCCGGAACATCCGAAACCCCCCTCGGTCCAACATCCCATTCATCTCCATCAGGACCAGGAACACCGAGGCCGGAGAGTGGGGGAGAAGCGAAGAAGGTATCCGCAATCATGAAATTACGCATGTAGACGGGAGCTGCAGCGGGAAAGATCGAAGGGGGGTCTTGGGTGTCAGCATCGTCGGTGGAAAGGGTCGCAGTTCCATTGGCTAGTGTCTCGTTCGTGTTGATCCCGTCGGTGCGGCTATTGGGGCTGAGGTCAGGGGTGGAGGATGGGGTTGGCAACTGTTCCCAATGGGCATGAGTGGGCTGCATGATACTTGGATATTGCATAGAGTTGGTGTGTGGGTCGTAGACACCCTTAAGGGTCTTGCGGCGCGTTGTGAGTAGGCGGGTATTAAATCGGCTATACGCAAGGTCTCAGTGCTGCTGGGTTGAAGGGAGTCCCACATTCGCATAGCAAAGACGCAAGAAGTTGAGATCAAGTGAAACCATACCTTGCTTCCATAGCATGCTCAAGCATCCAGTTAGTCTCCGTAACAGTGACTTTTTTCTTCTTTGCATCGACCACTTTCCCATTCGGCATCGGCACACTAGGGGCACCAGAATGATACACGCTGCTTGCCCCATGCCAGGCGACGTATTGGTTCTTGTTGTAACTCTCGCCAGGCTTGGGTAGCTTATCATTCGGATCTGCTAGATCGCCTTCGATCTCTCCATTGGCCCTTGCAACGGCAACTTGATAATCATCAACAATCTTCCTTCCTCCGACTACAATGCGCGCACCGAATTCGCGGAAAACAGAGCGAGCAGTAACAACACCAATGGCACGGCCTTTATATGAATGAGGTATGAGCTCGCGGTCGATGAGGTCGCGTTTCTCATGGTCATCGACGATGATTTTGTAGAGTTGCTTGTGTTTCTGGAAGAAGAGATAGCTATCCCTAAAGCCAATACATCTTGCTGGCTCCGTAGACAACATGTATAGTCTCTCTCCCCTTCCTAGTATGGTGAAGGTTCTGCATCGATACTCTCTGCCATCTTGTAGTCGGCCCATCTTATCAACCTTAGTCTCGCCTTCAGGGTCTTCCGGTAGGGCAACTTCGTCGTCGACTACATCCATCATGTTACCTTCCTTGTCGATTGGAACCTGAGTAATGTGCGAGGGGCCGCCCCGAGGCTTGAACCTTGAGCCAGATGCTGGAGGCCGGCCTCGACGTCTTCTTACCACAGGAGTCCCTATCTCGGACGCGTTGTCTGTGGCTGCAGGTTCTTCGGGATTATCCCAGTCCAAAGGCTTGTTTTTCGGTGGACGTCCAAGACGACGCTTTCGTGGGACTGTAGATTGTGGGATGGGTGTTTCTGGTTCCGAGAGCGGGTCGGCGGTGGGTTCTGGAGAGCCACCTTCCTCCTCACCAGAAGAGTCGTGTGGCACGTCAACGTCTGGCATTTCTTCGTCTGAGAGTTCATCAATTATCTGTGGTGTAGGCGTTCCTGAGGAATCGTGAGTTACACTTCGGCTGTAAAGGGACACGAGCTGTGTAGAGCAAGAGCCGATAAAGGGGTTTTTGAGGAGGGACTCTTTAACATACTCAACGATACAACCGCAGCTTGTGCTGCGGCGCGCGGTCGTCGTCCCATCTTATTCAGAATTCAGATTCTTAGAGGAAGCTGGTCGCGCATCTATCACGGTGCGCAGTGCAACAAGCGATGGAATGTCTTATGAGCCGCCTCGCGTTTTTTTCTCGCTTGTTAGCAAAGGGCGATCTCTAGTGCCACTTGGGGATCCAATCACGTCTACGTGGTACTCTGTTGGAACTAACGGGTGTATGGTGAGAATGGAGTTCTCCACAGTGTATGCATAGGCTAGGTTACGCTCGACTCTAGCGGATAAAGAGATCAATCGCCTCTACCTTGCAGCCAATCCTGAATAGCGATGATGCAGCTGAGGCGTCGATATGGGCTAATTGCCGTATGTGCGTTACTTCGCAGCTTCGGTAAGGCAAGATTCAACGAGGAGCCCTCGCAGCAACCCAGGGAATGGCCATCAGGGACAGAACCCGAGTGGTCTAAACAACCGCATCTAAGCGTTCCCCTACAACTGGAGCAATTTTGCTGCTAGAGGTCTGCCTCATTAGATTGCAACCGATATTAGGAAGGACACGGATCGCCGCACTGTCAGCAGATTTCCTCTAGCAGCAGCCCGGCGGTGCCTTCAAGAGAAGTCATGACCGATCTCAACCTGTGATGAGGAATCTTTAGAGGCGGTGAGCAGGCTCAAAAATAGCAAAGAAAGCATGCTGTGGATGGTGAAACAAAGCGGAAAGACGGCGATAATCCAAGGTTCCCACCGTCATACACTAAGCTGAGCTGGACATTCTAGTAGGGCACGAGCGAGATGAATGTAACTGAACTGCTATTGCGTAATGGAAGCTCTTGGGGTAGGGGCGCAGCTAGTCTGTGATAGTTGCAGTAATGTATTTGGCACAAGTCTCTTGCAGATATGCTTCAAACTTCGCTACGGATCTTCGATCCCGAAGCATGATGCTGAGGGCTTGCGATACCTCCGCCGCTTCGTCCCACCGCTTCGTCCCAACAGTTCGTTTGCATTATTTACTTATGCAACTTTCCGCCAGATCGGCCTGGTTCTTTTCCCTTCGACGTGTCACCAGCCCTGCAGACTGTTACTTCTGTCTTGTATAGCACCGTCTTGGTGCGGCACCAGCGCTATACATCCCTTTCATAAACTTCGGAGGAAGGAGAGTTTGATATCGAAAGCTCTAGGGACGGAGCGAGAGCAAAAAAGGCACCTCACGAAAATCAAGGTTTGTGTCCCGAGCCTCGCCATCGGTGACCAGCCACTGCCGCCCCACGCTCCTGCACGATATCGATTCCTCCATCGTCTCCGAGGTGTCAGGTTTTTGTGCAGGGTAGATAAAAGAGCTCTGAAAGAGAGCTTTGTCCCCACGAACGTAGATGTTCGCTTTGCAAGTCTCGGCTCTCGCTCTCTGGGTACATATTCATTCAGCCTCCGCGGGGTACTTTCTATATTGTTACCAGGCAAACACGTCCCCGAGCTGCTTGAGCTCGGGCATCTGGATCTCTCGCTCGCTGGAGATTTCAGCCCGACCACAGCCCTCGGGAAATACTCAGGCAATTATCCTAGAGCGCCACCTCGAATTGAAGCGCGCAAATTTCGCGTCGAGTCCTTGCCCTTGAAATCCTGGGCTTACGGAGAAACCTGCAACCAAGGAGTCGCCGGTACGGCTGACCTAGTTGTCGCCACTCCCGTGCTTTAGCTATACCACGGGCCTCACTTAACACGGTTAACTCCCTTTGCGCACCACCATCAGCGTCGAAAGCATTCTACCTCTCCCCTCTCTCTTGGCCACAAAGGCTAAGCAGGTAGCAATGGTGACAGCTTTTACACTTTTCGCTGGCCGCGCCCCGCCTTCTTCCTCGCCTGCACCCGATACCCCTCCTTCCCAACTTCCGACTTCGCAGCCATATCCTTCTTTACAAACAAACAACGGGTCGTCGAATTCTTCGCAACCAAATACACGGCCGTCGAGTGCGGCCGGCACCGCGAATCCAGTAAGCAACACGACAAGTAACGCTACGAGCCCAACGACCACAACCTTCCCTTCGGGTCCTCTAAGTCAATTGGCAACCCCTCTACACTCCCGGCAAAACTCAGCAAGAGGCGGACAACGGCCGCTACCGTACCAGTCACCAAGTTCAACATCGCCGGCGACGATTAACGTCACCAACGCGAGCGCGTGCAGAACGCCCGGTACGACGACTCCAAAATTGGGAGGGCCTTCGTCCAGGCAGTTCGGGGGTTCCTTCGTCATGGGTTCACACGAGGGTGTGAATCCTAATACGGCGGCAGACTTGTTAAGACAGGCAATGATGCAGAGGTGAGTTTATTGTTAGCCTGAGTAACACTTGTGCTTGTTGTTCTTGCATTCGGAATTATTTTACCTGTTTTGCTTCTCCAATTTTAAGAACATAAAAAAATGGCATCCACTAATCGGGGCGGCTTATCAAGTCGGTCCGATGACGACACGCACGACCAAATAGGCATATCCCAACCTGCCTCCGGCATTGCTACTCCTCGCCCAGACCTGTCGGATAAGCGGTTGCCTGGCATAATGC